ATTTTGCCTATTTTTGAAGGGTAGAGTAAATGATGCTTTAATTTTGTTGAGAAGTGTATATATATATATATATATATATATATATACATCCGACTCGCGGGCCGTTAGTTGTTGTGCATCTTTGCAATATATTATAATAACAAAAGATTGAATATATAACAATATAACAAAAATAAAGATATGAAATAAAATATATCGAGGAATGAAAGATCTCCCTTCATTCTATTAATTCACTGTTATCCAAGGTGGGACGCTTTTAGTCTTCAGGCTATCCAATTTGTCGGCGACGATTGCACACGCTCGACTTCCCGCTCATTATCAGGCAGAACGGCGCGGGCAACCGTTGATTCGTCGAGGGAGAAACGGCCGGGTTGCGCGACGGACGTCAAATATTAATTTCGCCAGGCGTGCAGCACGCAGTATTTGCATTTAATTACCGCAAGTTTGCGCAAACCGTGCACCATCTAGCTCCTTCGCCGCCTGTGCCATCTCCTATCCCCTCCGTCGAACATCTTTCTCTCTTTTCCTCAGCCGCATAATCTTCGTACTTTACCACCCTTTTTTTCTCATTCCGCGACCGAACTCGAGGCTCCGTTGCTCATCTGCAATCACTCGGCGGGAATTAATGCCGCTGGTTTTATCGTTTACGCAACGATAAATCGGAGAGATCCGCAATTGAAAACCTGAGAATCTTGCTTCAGATCCGCGACAGCGAGAGATTTCGGTGAAAGTAGCTTAGAATTACTGTCAGTTGAAGCTAGTTTTAACGCGTCGAATGGTAAAGAGACACTTTCTACGTAACATTGAACAATTATGATTGAATTCTTGATTATATCGATTTATTACATTAATTGCGTTACATCATTACTATTAAGCAATACAACTAATTAAAGTAACAAAAATAGTTAAATAGAATTGAAAGTATTTGTGAAATTATATTTGATCACAGCATGAAATTTACGCAAACTACCTCTGCAGAATTGAAAAGATAAGATTAAGACAAGTCACTCACGAATGATCTCTTCAAGCCTCGAAGTCCAAGCTAATACAACCCTGCGAGTTTTTTACTTGCACGAGAGTGAATCCGTCTTTCAGAATGAACACGCGCGAAGCGAAAGGCATATCGAATTTCGTCGGTTGTTAGAAAGGTGCCGATGCGTAACGCAGAATTGGAGTTACCGCTTTCGACTGCGACTGCAGCGAGTAATCCTGAAGTTTTGTCCTCTTCGCAGGACACGTATAATTTAATTAATATTAATTTCTTAAAGATACATATTGAAATTGGAAGATATTACACGGATAACATAAAATAATTTATTATTTCCCTTTTTTTTTCGAATACCTCGTGTTATAGTTTCAATTATAAAATAATGAGATATAATGAAAAACTCGATTTTCGTATTCACTATGTATACAAATTGATTAGAAACATCCTGATTCGTGTTATTCAATAAAAAGTCTAACTTTATCGACTAGTGTAATCGATAAGAAAGAAAAATAAGAATGAGTAATCCCGATACGATTTCTCCGGTGAAAGATAGCCGTGCCATAAATCGCTCCTCCAAGTTCCTCTACCTTTTATGTCGCGTCCTTTTACGTCGAGCGCGATTCGTGCCTCGTCTCGCGTCGACTGACCTAGGCACTTAGAATAATAGAATCATATGAATTGCCGGCTCGTTACGATATCCAACGATAATGACGCCGCAACGCGCGGCTCGCGAATCGACCGTTCAGTCCTTTGCACCGGTGAAACGTATTTACGACGGCGATGACGACGCGACGGGGCGTTTATAGCTTCTTACGGGCTAACACGATGATTGCGAATTAGATGAATAAATTGCAACTGAATTACGCAACTGAGCTAATGCAACATTAATGCCTCGGAAAGTTCCTTATCTTAAGAATTATTACTTGAATCATCGCGATTCAATCGCGACGTCGAGTGTATTAAAGGATTGCGCGAATCTGACGATTTCTCTGAAGAAATATTTTGATCCCGGATTCGCTGATATGACCATTGTTAATTCTCTGAGGATGGACGGATTATTATATTAGCTACTCCCTTTTATTTTGTAAACATCACAGAAACTAAAGTTTTCCATAAGTTATTTTGTCAGGAAGCTCCCGTCTTCAAAGGATTAAAAAATAAAGAACAAGATTTGAGGGATGAGAAAGTGATAAAAATAAAAAATCAAAGACAAAAGACACCTTTGAATTATAAGTGGATTAACTTGATCTTTTACTTTTGTAGGGACCGGATAGTTTAAATAACGGGAGACGCACAAGTGAAGTAAAGAATTTATATTTATATCTCCGAACGACGATATATTGAGCATCTGTCACATTCGAGTGATTGTACAATATAAATATCGAAATAAAAAATACACATTCTGAGGTTTCGAAACGCCACGCGACAAAGTGACGCCGAGCGCTTAACAATCGGAAAACGCCCGGAAAGGCCGCGTACGTTCCTTGAGCTCTCCACGGGTGATTCGTTTTTACCCATTACACTCGCCCTAAATGCCTACAACAACATACGCTGACCGTTAAAAGGTGACAACGAGATTGTCATGTGTAAAATCGAATCGCCTCTTGACGCACAACTCGCGGACTCGCGCGATTGCGCGAGATGTGCGTAAAAATGCGCAATACATCTTGTCACACATCCTCTTTTCGCTTCGCAAACTTAAAACGTCACAGATACGTAATCCTACGACGACGGGTACGGGTGAAGAAGCAGTCGTGTCATTTCGCAGGACAAAAGCATCGGTCTCGCGCAGGAGACACGAAGATTTTCAACGCCGGCGAAGCTCGTAGGAAAATATTCTCTCCTCTGACACGAATTCAATTCTACGGAGTATTGCGAAATTTCTTGTGGAGTATTTCTAAAGCTGTTACAAGAGTGCCTTTAAAACTCTCGAATCTTTAATTTCATTTATAAAATTTTGTATTTTTTTTGTAGAGAGGTATTTAACTCTAGGATCATATAATTAAGCTACATCGATCAAGCGCACGCGCTGAAGATTCTCTGTGTTGATTTTAAAAATATTAAAAAAAATATTAATTTTCTTAGAAGAAATATATTTGCGTAATATTGAATTTCATTTTATTTATATATACATATAAAAATTTGTCTAAACAAATAAATAATAAAATATGAAATAAAATATAAAATAATAAAATATAAACGTAAAATATATTTATGAAAATTATTTGTGAAAATGCAATTTAAATTTCATACATCGAATAAACGTATACTTTATTAGATTTCTAAATGTGCTTATCTCTTTAGGATTAAAAATAATTGGAACACTTGTACAAAATTTCGTTTGGCATATTGCATAGAAAAAAATTGATGTATTAATAGCGTTAGCTAATAGTAGTCTAATTCAAAATGTTTTACTTTTCTTTCAAAACAATCTTAATTCAATAAATTCAATATTAATAAAACCAATACGGCACGCTTTTATTTAATTAAAATGTAATTCGTTTCATTAATATTGTTAAATATTAATGAAACAAGGAATTCAATAAGATTAATTATAATTTAATACAATGTCTTGTTTCTTCTATGTATAATTTGAGAAGTTGCAGTTACTCTTATATGTTTGGCGCAATTTAATTCGCCTTGCTTTCGTTTCGCAATGCGAATGTTAATTTCATTGACTGTTACGTCTTAACGCGTACCGGATGTCCTACGCGAATTGCGTTGTCGGTGCATTTCGTAATGCGACGAAAGCATGACGAACTCGAGAGGCGGTCGCTCGTCTTTACCGTTTTTCGTATAACATAAATGCAATATCTTTTTACCATATACCTTCGTAATAAGTAATAGTCATGAGACGTTGCAGCAATTGGTACGATTACGCAAACGAGATTAAATTAAATGCGACGGTTACATCAAATCGTTGCGGGAAGATTTGCTTCTCGCTGTAGAAACGCTACGTAGAAAATAGAAATCGGATTTCGAGAGCAAAGGAGTAAGAGCCAGGAGAGACTCGAGCCAGACGATCGACGCTACAATTAGTCACCTCGCAACTGTGCGCTGGATAATGAACATGTAGGGAAACCTGGAGACACTTGAGCTTAAGTAGATTTGATTCCTACTCATTAAAATAATGTCAGTGTTCATACTTGATTGTACGAAGCGTCAAATGTTATTTTGACAATAGAGCATAGGTAATAACAGAGTACGAGGATATTTTACTTTTCGAGATGCCCAATTCTTTTTTTCTCATAGTAAGTGTTCAATTGTTTCGCAAATCGTTAAGTTTTATAATTAGATTTAAAACTTCATAATGGAGTGAAAAGTTGCTTTAACGGTAATACAGAGATAATTAGCAAAAATTTATTTACAAAAAAAAATAAAATTTAAAATATATTATTTCTCCCAGAGTAAAGGACACTTGGTATACTTTGATTGTTTTACTAAAATGTAAATTATTCTAAAAATTATCCTTTTGATTAAAAATTGTTTTAATAAGATACACTTTCGGAATATCTATGACACAGCACAAGAACGTTTTGCGTTTTTCTTTGCATTTATTTTTTGAGATATTCAACAACATCGAAAGTGTGTATGTGTGTGTGAGAGAGAGAGAGAGAGAGAGAGAGAGAGAGAGAGAGAGAAAAGATTGGTAGGTATATTCCCAGGTTCCCCTAATAACGAATTAATCACGCATCTACAGACATTCGTACGTGGGCACATACAAAAATAAAATACGAATTATCTAGGGCATTTAATTTAGCTAGTCTGTCCGCTTAGAAACAGAGAGCTAAAGAGAGGAATGGAAATAAATTATCTGTTGCACAATCACGCGTAACGAGTTATTTCCGGATATGCAATTACAATGTTATCCGCGCAATTACAATTGGTATCTACGTATGATGATCGTGCAACGTGCCTGAGTGAGAGTGAGTAAGGGGGCGGAGGAGAGAGGGGAGAGAGGGAGAGAGAGAGAGAGAGAGAGAGAGAGAGAGAGAGAGAGAGAGAGTGTGTGTGTGTGTGTGTGCGCGTGTATATTAGTATGTTTACAATACTGTAGATCTAGAATATGTAAGTACATACACTATACGGTGCCGGAACTGTAACTAAAAGGACCCTAACTCGAACTTTGGGTTTGGAGAACGCCAAGCTGCAACTCGCGTTCCGCGACTCGAACGCGGAACGCCAGCTCGCTCATCGTCTCCCTCCGTGTAGTTTTAGCGAAAACCTGTCTATGGATCATGCAAAACACTCATTCCCCGACTCGTCATTTCGGGGGGGGGGGAGGGGAACGAACGTGTTCTTTCGCGTTTTCTCGAAACGAACGTGCGCATCCCGCGTGAGTGAAGTCATCATCCTTTCAGCGCAGCGCGGCGATTTATGACTCACCCAGCCACTCAATCGTCTTCGTTCCGCCAGTTTTTGTGCCGCTCGCAAGGTCGTTTCTGTGGAAACATCGTTTGTCTCCTCTCGGCGAACAGATCGAGAGGCACGCGTCGATCAAACGTCAGGCGATCACGTCACGGTCGAATCGGAGTTCCTCTGGGTTTTTTTTTTCCTCCGCGGAGAGGATCGTGTGCCTCGCGATCGCGAGGGGGGTGGTGCAACGTCTCTTTAGCTCCGAACGTAAATTTACGATTTACGATTTTTTGTTGTGCAGTAAAAGCGTCCTTTTTTATCCCACACGTATCTCGACGTGTCAGCGAGGAATCGTGCCAAGGACACAATTGGAGTATTACGCCGCGCGTTGACGAGCGGCTATAAGCCTTGGCCTGATCTTCGAGGCTCATTAACTCGCGACGATTCGCGCGCGATTTTTCTCACCAGGAGAAATCATCGACGTATAAGCTCCTCTTTCGATTGTCTAACGAAATCGGAATCGACTTCAACTTTAGAATTCTGCGGAAGAAAACGCGCGACAGAAGGATCGCGACGCGATTTGCGAAAAAAAGTAGAGATGTGCAAAAAAAATTACGCAATTTGCTATATGCAGTTATTATTTGTAAAAAGCAACTATGTATTTTTTTTATATCAATTGATTCTTTTAATTAATCTGCAATAAGTATTAAAATAATTTCTAAAATATTTGATATTTCGTGACAAATAATGCTAGAATAAAGAGTAAAGGACAAAATAAAACGTCCTGTAAATTATTTTTGATAATTCTATTTTTTTAGTACTTATGCAGAATAATTAGAAGAATCATATTATAAAAACAAATACAATTCTATTAAAAAAATAATCTTGAAAAATCAATTTTTTTACTGATTGTGGCGGCTTTCTTTTCATCAACGGATATCAGATATTCAGCAGTCTATTATTTCCCTATTGATCAATATAAGATTCATTACTATATGTGAGGTGCTCAAAATAGACAAGGTTCTTTATATTATATAATCAATAATATCTTTTACTTATAATCATGAGAATCACAAACATTTTTTAAATTATTTGTATGTTAAAATTCAATTTAACAATAATTATGTTATTGAGTTTTAACTGTACAATGTCAGTTTAAAAAAATTACAAAAGATTGGTCGAACTTTCTACGATTTTGATTATGAATCAATTCTCAAAACAAAACAAAAAATGAAACAAAAGACCAAACAACAAATTTGGATTATAATGACTTATGTAGCGTATTTTGCTGCAGTTTTAGGTCAATAACTTTGAAACAAATAAGTAAATCTAAATAAACTTTTGTACGAATATTTATGACAACTTTATCAGTCTGTTGTCTGTATGAATAATATATGGATTTAATTTGTAACGCTACAAAAGAAATATCAAATAACTTTAAATCAATAAGAGATTTGTACTCAAATTTTATACAAATACTTGCAGACGTAATAATAAAACAATCTATAACATTTTCATATTTTTGATAATGTTTGATGTAACTCATACATCCTTCAGTTAAAATTATGTTTCAACGATTCGAGTCGATTCAGCATCAAAATATCTTGATTCCCTGTAGAAAATATTCCCTGTAGAAAAATCTACCTTGGATACGAATTCGATCTATCTCGCGAGATTGTAATATTGTGTCCCTTTGAAAAATCAGCAATATTTTATGCGTTACTTTGTTAAAACGTTGACGGGATAATTTCGATTCTTCGAAGACCGCGAAAGACGTTAGAAAAGCGAAGGAGCAGCATAAAACAAGGCTATAATAATTAAATAATAATAATAATAATAATAATACGCTAATAAAATATAATACGTGTTTTTTCTTTCAAAAACGCGACGCATTAGGAACATAATACGTGTAAGTTCCCAGATAAAATATAAAAACTACGATTATAATTAATGTCGATGTGAGCGGTGTACCGGTGTGGACGGGACAGCGAGATTGCAAATGACGTAGCGATTCTCCAACTTTAAAATCATTAACAGAAGCATCCATAAAAAAATATATAATATTCGTAAACGATAATTATAAAAAGTAACTAAATAACTATAATCATAATATAATCATAAAAAGTAAAAGGAGTATTTGTATACTTAATAATAATAAATAAAAGGAGAATCTATACTTATGTTAATAATAAAATCAGACTATATCCATTTAATAATCGTAGGAGACTCAAGGACTGAGGATCTTATCGTCGGAAAATAATCTCTTCATCCCGTCCATCCGGGAATCTCTCGGTCCCTCTCCGGCATATGTATCGCGCTTCTTTCTTTCCTCTTTTAACATTTCATCGCGCCGCCACGGGGCCCGAAAATCGGCTTGTAATCGTCGCCTCGGACATATGGCACCGGAAAGCGGAAGTATAATACCTAACAATACTTCCGCAGGATACGAAAAAATAAAACGAGGCGATAACGAGAATGCGCCTGGTGAATGCGAACGCGAGGGGAGGCACGGCCGATATCGGGCGCGCGAGTACCCGTCCGCGTTATCACGCGGCATATTATCCAGACGATGACTAGATAATATTCGGGGGAGGGCACGGGAGGAGGCGGGAGGGGGGAGGGGAAAGGGGGAGGCAAGGGTAAGAGGAACGAGATGGAGGAGGGAAGTCGCTCCGGGGCACTCTCCATTCATCGTGACACATTTATTTCGCATCTCGGGCGTGCGGCCACCGCTCTCGATTGGCGCAATAACGCGCCGCGCGACGCGCAATAATCGGCGACGAGATAGCCCGCTCTTCTCCTCTCTCGCGGCGTGGGTTTTGAATCACGGGGGATTGTAATTACGTAAACGTATATACACACACCACCGTTTTCACCGTGCGTATATACGTTTCACGAGATGCGAGATTTATCCGTATTTCGTCGAGCGCGGGTTGAAAATTGGAATCCCGACAGTTGAAACGACGACAATGATAAGATTAGCGACCATTACGAAATTGTTCGACCTGGACACTATAGAAACGTAACTGGACGACGTTCGTCGGAATGTATATTGAATATTAAATGGCACTTTAATTCTCGAGTCGTCAGAAAGAAAAAAAAAAAATCCGTCCCCGGATTCTCTTCTTAATTGAGAGAAAGTACATGATATCCGATACATCCTGTTAGATATCTACTTTGACCTGATTACACCGCAGATCGGATGTCGTCGATGAGTACGCGTGTAACGTACCGTACGACGACGAGACTGCTGATTACGGAAAAGAATTCTTGGGAATCTGTGAACGGTATAGCCATCCTACCGTCGTAAAAATATTGTCCCTTGTTCTTTCCGTACACTTCGATGCCGGATGTGGTTGTCCGACGTTGTTCGATATATCTCAAACGAGGGGATACATCGCCGGTGTATAGGAAAATTACGGTTACCCTCATCCGCTATACTAAACGTGCAACGAAAACGCGGGCGATCGTATTTATATGATAGTTTAGCACCGGGACGTAAAAGGAAAAAGATCAGAGGTCGACAAAATTATAGAATTATTTTGTGACTATCCTCACGCGCAGGAGACGCCTCTTCTCCCTCTCTTCTCGAGAAAATGAAATTTCTTTACATTACCACGGAATATTTTACAAAATTAATTCTACGACAATAAAAATATTTCTTTGGAATTCACAGAAATATATATAAAAGATACAAAATAGCAGATTCCGTCTTTCAGCCCCCGGAGATCCTCCAGGGATAAAAGATTTATCACTTTCGTTCGACCTCCGTGAGGAGAAGCCCGATTTGGTGACACGATCGAGTGCTTCGTGTAAAAAATTCAAGCGGCGAGATTCTCTGCGTCGGGTTTTGCGGCACACAATTTCTCACTATACCCTCCGTGTATGTGTGTACATGTATGTATGTATGTTGTTGCGTGTGTATGTGCCACTCACTCGAAGTTGGAACCGAATACATGTGCGTGCGCGCGCGCGCGGGGCTATATGGGTATACGTGTGCGAGAGAGGTCGTCAGTGAAACGACGACGGTTGGTATCGCGTCAGCCGGTCGGCGCGTATAACCGGCACTCGAATCGCATTAAGGCGGTAACGATCGCACCACTTGGTTCGCCAGGGTCAAGCGTAGGACCTTCGTCGCCTTCAGCCGCCCGGCCGGTTATCACTTGCACTTACTCTTACCGTCGAGCAGCTTCTTCCACAGGTCAAACTGTTCGCTGTACTTGACCATGTGTATGCTGATGCCGCGCTGGATGTTGCAGGCGGTGTACTGTATCCGCTTGTTCAGGAACTCGTTGGCGTGCGAGCGCTTGATGCCGAGCCGGTGCGCGACGATCCCCGTGGTGAACACGTCCTCGAGCTTCAGATACGTCTGGTCCAGGGCGGCGTCGTACAGACGTCGCACCGTGTCGCTCGACAGCAGGTACGCCGGACCGGTGGTGAAGTCCGGGAATACAGGCTGCTGGAATTGCGCCTGCGACACGTAGTACTTGCTCTTGCGGTTCCGGATCGGCTTCCACTTTCTCGCCAGCCGGCCGAATATCACGTTACGGTCTTTCGCGTGCTTGTACACGAACGCCAACAGCCGCGGCACGTTGATGAACATGTCGTCGTCGGTCTTCAGCAGATACCTCACCTTGGAGCAGTAGGTGTCCACCCACTCCAACGTCGAGATGGTCTTGAGCGTGAGATTCGAGTACGAGTCGAGGAAGCGACCGCGTATCACGTCGTTGTACATGTTCTGCTCCTTGCGCAGGATCGTCTCCACTCTCGGATCGAGGGTGGTGCCGAGCATGAAGAGCACGCTCATATCGCTGCGCTGGCCGTAGTGCCCCCAGGTCTGTCGGATCGCTGTTCGCGCTTCGAGATGGGTCGGCGCGGACATTATGATTACCACCAGATCCATGTCCTTGCCGAGATTCGGGCAGCGCTCGGCGATCGACACGGTGTGCCCGGCCTCGTATATGGCGCGCGCCGAATCGTTGCGAACCGCGATCGGCGCCGACTTGGTCACGTTGATAACTCGTGCCGTCTGAAGCTTCTCGTTCGCGCTCTGCCTCGAGCTGCTGACCAACGTGCTCACGGAAGACGACGAGGACAAGGACTGCACGCTGGAGGACGTTGACAGCGTGGTGATGAAAATCGAGGAGCTGTTGCTGGAGTTGTGCGCTGCGTACGGGCTCAGAGACATGCTGTCCGAGCTGGAGTTTTTCGACTGGCTGAGATTCGTGTGCACGTGAAGGCCGTCTTGATATGCGGAGTAACCTGAAATTCATTAATTCTGGGTGACGATCAGGTGGCAAAGAAATATGTCAGAAAAAATGCTCAGAAACACTTTGCCCATGTGCTTTAAATTAAATTAAAGTTAAATTTTATTTAAATTAAATAAATCAACGTCCTGCAGCGTGCAGTCCTTGTCCTCGTTACAACAAGTCTTTATTTAATTCTTTGGCAAGAGAAAATAAAAGAGAGCTTGTAAGCAACTTGAATTAATTAATAAACAAATTAATTGGCAACACAGGCATCGGTTGATCTTCAAATTTATTATATATAAATCGAAACAGCAGGTTTAATAATTTCTCATAATGTAACAATATTATAGATGCTTACTGGTGTTTCGTGGCAAGCTGTATTGGCGAACATCGTACGCGGCGGTGCGGTAGTACGCGTAGAAGGTCAGGCCGATCAGCGCGAGGATCAGGGTCTGTAGAAAACGACTCCTGAGATGTAGATAGTGGAACATGACGAATGCTTGCTCTGGTCACTCTTCTCTCTTTCTCTCTCCTCACTCTTCTTTTCCTTTTATCTTCGCGTCGCGAAATCACCGGCGAGGATTATATATCATCGTGCACGTCGCGCGCCAGACGACCTGACGGCCGTCGTCGCTCCCTCGTGGACCCCACCGCGGATCGGAGCACCGCTACGTGCCGCCGTACGACAGATTATTCCCATACTGCGCGCTGGGCCCTACTCACCGTCCGTCGTCCGCCCGTTCGCTCATCCGCGGCGGTGGGGACGGAGGAGGATCGCGGCCGACCCTGGTTCCGCGCGAATCCGTTGCGCCCCCGCTTCCAAGAGGACGGGTCTCGTCCAAGCTTTCCTAGCGCGTCACATCACACGCTTGCACGTTGTTTGTTCGCGCACTCCGACGTTGATGGACGTCGTCGACGGCGATCCGGAGTTGCACCTCTACACCGAGGGGAGATTCACTTCCCTCCACTTCCCACCACTTCCGTCGTCAGCGGGCGTCGCGACGGGTACCATCGACGGGGTGCCGTTACCGTTGGCGGCGCGCCTTCTACTTGCGTCTATCGTCGTCAGATGGCGCGACTTGTGCAGTTTAGTGGCAATTTAAATGGTTTAAATGGACGGACTTTTTTGGACTTCGCGTTGACTGGGTCATTTCGCTATATTTAAAAATTGCGAAAATTGATAAGAGATCTCTTGGTGAGAAAAATGTTATATTGTTAAGAATTTTTCATATTTTAAATTTAAATGGTTTAAATTAACGGACTTTTTTGGACTTCGTGTTGACTGGGTCATTTCGCTATATTTAAAAATTGTGAAAATCGAAAAGAGATCTTCCGGTAAAAAAAATTTTATATTTTTAAGAATTTTTCATATTTTAAATTTAAAAGATTTTAAATTTAAAGATATTAAAAAAATATCTTAAACTTTTTCTGATTTTATAAATAATCTTCATACAAATTTTAAATCTTACAATATTTTTGTAGAATTTACACGTACAAAAAATTGTAAAAAATATGTAGACTTTAGAAACATGTTTCAATTTATATAAATTAATATTAAAAAATCTGTAAAATTTTCTAAAAAGTTATAAAGTTAGACAGAAACTATAAAAAATTCTGCAATTTATGTAGAAATTCCGAAAAATTATATAAAGAATTCCAAGCAAAATTTTTATCAGGGTCTATTTAAAAAATTTCCCATGTGAGGGTTGGCTTTGTAGAAAAATCCCGGCCGCGTTATGTTACTTTGGCGACGGTGCCAGATCATTCTGTATGCGTATCTTCTATCCGACTGTCGTTCATATATCAACATATATCCGGCGGAAGCTAGTAGAACCCCATGAATGTTTTACAGTGTCAGGCCGCATAACAAATGTATTGGCGTTACGTGCTTGAAATGCAAGCGTTTATCAGCGTTTCCTCGTACCATCAATATGATACTGCTCGGTGAGTCTTAAAAAAGCTTTTTATCTTCGGCAGTCTAATAAAGAAGGCTATTTTTGGAAATTTTTTTTTTGAAAAATCTATGCGGATTTTCAAAGGTGTAAGTACAGCAATTTATTGTACAGCAATTTTGTTGACGTAAATTAGTACAGATATTACTTAAAGTTAATTTAAGTTAATTAGACTTCTGTCGAAGTTACACGTCTGTAGGTATTAGAAGCCAATATAATACCCAGACAACACAAAATTTAAAATCGACGCATAAAACATTTTTTTAGTCTTTTTAGACAATTTTTAGATAGTTCTCGTAGAAGTATCTGAAATATAAAATATAAAAGACATCTAAAAGACGTTTTATGTTGTCTTGGTAGTACACGGAAAGAACACTTTTGCTAAATCCAGATCTGAAAATAATTTTTGTTCAATAATCAAAATAATTTTGTGCGAAAGTCAAAATAAATGCTAAAACATCAAAATTTTTTATAGCACGTCAAAACGTTTTATAGCAATGCTTATCAGTTTTA